TACGCGGAGAGACACTGATATTTCTGACTACCCTCCTCATCTCTCCTTCACTTCTAAACCCCCCTCTCCCTTTCCTCTTCCCTTGCTTCAATTCACAATCTTGGGTGGCTTTGGAGCTGAAGAGAGTGACTGGGAGAGAAGAAATCTGGGTTCTTTACACTTTTCCTGATATCTTGTGTGTCAGAGGTACTTCCTTTTCCCATCTTTTCCTTTTCTCTGTAGCTGAATTATTGGCTTGCACTGTTGTACTTTGATGTTCTTTGAGTTTTCGTGTCAGATCTCCTTGTGTTCTTCAGTCCCTTTCAAGTATGCATATTCATGTTGCACTCATTTCTCCTTTGATTATTGCATCTGGGTTGGTTCTGTTCTTTTTAATTTTGTCTAGAGATCTGGTTTCCATTAATGTGGGAATGAAAATGGGGAAAGATTTGACATCCAAGAACAAGATTGAATCTTTTCCCATTTCATAAATAATTCAGTAAGAGTCATATCAAGATTTAATTGCTGGGTTATTAATTCTTGTTTCACGTGAATTTTGCTTCTTTTTTGGACCAACGTTTATCATCATTCTTTGTTTTGTTTTGCCTTTTCTCCCCTTTTTTTCTTGACTGCAACCAATGGTGGTTTCACTTTTTGCATGGTGTGAAATTAATTGGGTTGGTTTCATACTTTTTCTTGTTCTTTACTGACTTTATTGGCAAAAGAGGGCCCTCACTCTATGACTCAATTATATGAAGACCTAAAGTAAAGAGAGTTGAATAGTTTAATGCACTATTATTACTGTCAGATCTTATTGTGGTGTTGAATTTAATAGCCAGTTTTGACCATTAGATCTGTGTTGTTAATCCACTGATCTTATTTATAGTGTATGATTTACTATGGAGTATGAGCTTTCTTTGATTTGAGAAAGCCCTTAATTCTGTTTGCAAACTGGATCTAAGTGGTAGTTCTTAGTTCTTTAAGATTTAAGAATCTCTTGCCTTGCTTCAGATGAAAATGAAACATTTACTCTGTCTTGTTCTTAATGATCTACTTATGGATCCTACACTGATGCCTATGGGAATCCTTTTATTCTCGATTTATTTACTGATTGGTAAAGTTTAATGATTCATAGATTGATTGTTTTATTTGTGCAGAAATAGTTGATTAAACTAAGGACCATGAAGCATAAAGATAAAGATGGGAAGCCCTTAACTCACCCGGATAAAAGTTCGAGGAAAGTCCAGGTGGCAATACTGTTCTTGGTGCTGTGTGGGTTTTCGTTCTATCTTGGTAGGATCTTCTGTTCTGAGAAGGAGAGATTTGTTGTTAATGATGTTGGCAAGAACGATGAATCTCCCAAGGAAATTGCCTCTAGCTCGGGCTCGGGCTCTGGCACGCTGCAAATCAAAGTCACTTCCTTTCCTGAGTGCAGCCCGGACTCACAAGACTACACCCCGTGCACAGATCCGAAGGTGCTAATTCTCTATTCTTGATTTTAGTTCTTAGTATAAAAATGTGTACTTTTGGATAACGTGATGCTCGTATTGCAGAGGTGGAGGAGGTACGATCCTCATCGGTTAAGTTTCTTGGAACGCCACTGCCCTCCGATGTTTGAAAGACAGGAATGTTTGGTTCCTCCACCTGATGGCTATAAATCGCCCATCAGATGGCCAAAGAGCAGAGATGAATGTTGGTACAGGTAGGGTAGCTAGCTTTCCGGTTTTTGATTGAATTTCCAACCATGGACCCAACATTAATTACTGCTAGGATATTGTTTCAGAAATGTTCCATATGATTGGATTAACAAACAAAAATCTAACCAACATTGGCTAAAGAAAGAAGGGGAGAAATTCCACTTTCCTGGAGGAGGTACAATGTTCCCTGATGGTGTTGGCAAATATGTTGATCTCATGCAAAGTCTGATTCCGGGTATGAAAGATGGCACAGTCAGAACTGCCATTGATACTGGATGTGGGGTAAGTTCACTTTCGTTATTATATATAATTTCTTCATATGTTGCAATTAGAGCTAAATTTGACAATGAATGGTCTTCTGATGTCTAGGTTGCAAGCTGGGGAGGGGATTTACTAGATCGTGGGATTCTTACGGTTTCTCTTGCACCCAGAGATAACCATGAGGCCCAGGTTCAGTTCGCTTTGGAGCGTGGAATTCCTGCAATTCTTGGAATCATTTCGACTCAGCGCCTTCCTTTCCCTTCAAGTTCTTTCGATATGGCTCATTGCTCAAGATGTCTCATTCCATGGACTGAGTTTGGTAATTCAAAATCTATTCTTTTTCGGTTTTATATCAAACAGGAATGAATCTGCTATGCATTGTTTGCTACTTTGCTTCATTGGTGTACATTTAATCATTTCAGACCTGATTATTTTCAGGTGGACTCTACCTTCTTGAGATAAACCGTATACTTCGCCCAGGGGGTTTCTGGGTGCTCTCTGGACCTCCGGTGAACTATGAGCACCGCTGGAAAGGATGGAACACCACAATCGAAGAGCAGAAATCAGATTTCGAGAAATTGCAAGAATTGCTTACTTCAATGTGCTTTAAACTGTACAAGAAAAAGGACGACATTGCTGTTTGGCAAAAATTAGCAGACAGCAGTTGCTACAAGAAGCTCGATGATCCCGACACCTACCCACCGAAATGTGATGATAGTACCGAGCCAGATTCAGCATGGTATACACCACTTCGGGCTTGTGTTGTTGTGCCTAACCAAAAGGCTAAGAAAATCGAACTAAAATCTCTCCCCAAGTGGCCCCAGAGGTTGAGCACTGCTCCAGAACGTGTTACCTTTGTTCGTGGAGGAAGCGGGGGTGCCTTCAATCATGACAGCAATAAATGGAAGACGAGAGTGAAGCACTACAAGAAGTTGCTTCCTGCCCTTGGCACTGATAAGATACGAAACGTTATGGATATGAACACGTTATATGGAGGCTTTGCTGCTGCCCTGAACGACGATCCTCTCTGGGTTATGAATGTCGTTTCTACCTACTCAGCAAATACACTCCCAGTAGTCTATGACCGGGGTCTAATTGGTGTCTATCATGACTGGTAAGTGGTAACCCACAATACCGTTGTCTACTAATTCATGATTATTGTTTAATCTTCATCTCGTCGTTTTTTCTAGGTGTGAGCCTTTCTCAACATACCCGAGAACATATGATCTGCTTCATCTAGATGGCCATTTCACCGCGGAAAGTCACAGGTAAATGCAATGTCCTAGGAAGTTTAAGGTTTTTTTTTCTTGAATTCTACTGACTCTATTACATTGTAGTATCTGTTCATCTATACTTTCTCAACCTGTTGAAGCACAAAGAGTCAACACTGCCTCCACTGAGGCTCGATCTCATGACCTCCAATATGGGAGAGTCACTACATGTCATCTGAGCACAAGGTGCTTGGCAGGAAGTCTAAGGTTAACTGTCCTAGGAAGTTTAAGGTTAGCTTGACATTTGTTACACCCCCTTGTGCAGATGTGAGATGAAGTATGTTCTTCTGGAAATGGACCGTGTTCTGAGACCCAACGGGTATGCATTGATTCGTGACTCCAGCTACTTCGTTGATGCTATTTCGACTCTAGCGAAGGGGATGAGATGGAGCTGTCGTAAAGAGGACACAGAATACGGTGTCGAAAAGGAGAAGATCTTGATTTGCCAGAAGAAGCTCTGGTACTCATCCAAGAAAAGCTCGAGATGAGAAATAGCATAAAGCCGTCCCCGGGGAGTTATACTTAAGATACCAACATACATAACAGATAAGCAAATTCCAATATCGGATCGAAGAAAGTTCGTTGTAGCTGAATAATGTCATTTTGCTGCTCTAATCTCTACTTCATTTTCATGATATATATACATATATTCTTTTGTAAGGTTCTGGGATTACCCTGTTATTGTTGTACTGTATTCTTTTCCCTTTTTTTTTTTGGTCCCCATTCTTTTCCACAGAGATTGCTGTGAAGTATGCATGTAATCTGTTGGAAATTAAATGACTTCATTGAAGCTTCTTAGCTTTTTATATATGTAAAACAGTCTTTAATTTTGAGAAGTTTTCATATAAGGGAGTTCTCAAAAGGATGAAAGGTGTGAGATGAAGTTCCGTATGGTACTGTGAGCATACTTTCAGGTAAATAGGTCATTTGGATCTAATTGCATGATTTTGTGGTATCTTTTTTGAATTCGATGATCTAATTGCATTTTGGTGTGCAATTAAGTGGCCTATTTGACCCTTATTCCTTTAGTTATAAGCACTGTTGTAAAGATCGGCCTAGACGCCCCTAGGCCGTTCTGCTTTCACTATTAGGCGCCCAAAAATTGGACGGGCGCTTAGATGGCAAAATCGGTCAAAATTGGCCTAGTCGGCCAACTCGGCCAAGTCGGTCGATTTCTTCTGATTTCGTAGGATGTCGTCTGGTCCAGCCGTCCGTAGACTAGTTTGATACTTTGAATCTTTGGATGATTGAAGTATTCGGGTATTTCATATTTGAGTATTTTTATTTTTTAATATTATTTTGATGTTATGACTTATGAATTATCATTATTTCATTTATTTAGATGTGTTATTTGATTGAATGTTGAAAACAGCCTCATTAAAATTGTCAAACTGCAAATCCCCCACTATTTTTTGGCGCCCGCCTAGTCCGCCTAGACGCTGCCCGTGCGCCCGACTAGCACCTACTGCAACCATGGTTATAAGTATTACAATATTTATTATTAGTAAGTAGTAACAATCAATTTTAACTTAAATAGTATCACGATTTCATATATAATTAAGCATTACATACAATATCAATCATTAAGTAACGATTTATTTTTAATTCAAATTAGTATTAACTTTTCTACAATAAGTCATAAATAACATTTTACGCGTTAGTATTTATTATTATTTGTCTGGTTGTACTTCAAGTAATGAACAAGATATGAAGCTATTAGGAAACAAACATTTATAAAGCTCTTAAATATATTGTTAACATCAAGAAGATTTGTCTAAGAGTAAATTGCAGGTTTGGTCCCATGACTACTATGGTGGTGGGTTCATGAGAAAATGATTAATCAAATCATAAATGTATATATTTAATGATTAATGATGTCTCTCTCCCCCTCTCTCTCCATATATACACACAGAACTTCATTTCACAGTACCATACAGAACTTCATTTCACACCTTTCATCCATTTTAGAGCTTCTCAAAAGACTGTTTTACATATATAATGAAGTCATTTAATTGTAAGTGCATTGTTGAAGAACATATCAATTAAGCACGTCTTTTACTCAACCGCCAAGAATTAGGCTCGTGATATCTGTCGTAAAGAGGTTCAATGCGCTCCTGTCTCTTGCGTTTGCTTAATTTAGTTGGGTGAGCGACTTTGAAAAATCTGGGTGCCAGCTCTACAAGCCACTTGGGATCGATCACCGTGACCTCACGCATATATTGCTTTGTTGTCATCACAAGCTCGTGATAAATAACCCAATCTGGCTGCCTTTGGAATAGAGCACTACTAGGATGTATATAAACTGGCTGGTTCTCAACCAGTGTTCTATACCCTCCTTCTTGTGGATCCTTCCTAGCAGCATTGAAAAAGAAACCTGCAACTATGGCCTTCTTTATCTTGGTAAAATTTTTTGCAGCACTCACAACATCCAGTTTGCACTTATCCATGATGGAATGGAGCTGTTTTCTAACATCTTGAGCACGCCTTAAAGACCGTGATTGTACAAAGTTTTCAAAGCACCACGGTCCAGAAAAATTGTTGGCTTTCCATGCTTCATAAACCGCAAGCAGTGTGAGATGATCACCTTCTGGCTGAAAGAACTTTGCCCTTCTCTGATCAGCTTGTGCTTGTTTCTCCCGAGGTCGATAAAAAATATTACCCGTCTGAATCATTGCAACGATGGTCAAAATCTCATCACTGCATCCAAGGTCTACACTAGCGAGGAGCATTTTGGACAGTGGAGGTTCCAAAGGAAATTCAGCCATTTTCCTACCCAACTTTGTCAAGAGCCCCTCTTCGTCAAGAGCTCCTAGAGTGAAGAGCTGATCCATGGCGGATATTAGTGCTTGAGGGGAGGGAGGATCCATGAAATCAAAGGACAAAAGATCATTGATACCCATAGCTTTCATATTAAGCACTGTCATCCCAAGGTTAATACGCTGAATTTCTGGGATTGTTGTAGGAGACATTTCATTGTAAAATGCAGTCTCGGTATAAAGACGATAACACTTTCCTTGTCCAGTTCGTCCAGCACGCCCAGCTCTTTGCTTCGCTGAGGCTTGTGATATAGGCGTTATGACCAATGAATCAAGCCCCTGTTTTGGATTATATACATTTTGCTTAGCAAAACCTGGATCTATAACATAAAAAATGCCATCTATTGTTAAAGAAGCTTCCGCAATATTTGTAGCAACAACTACTTTTCTCTTTCCAGGAGGGGCAGGCTCGAAGATTCTAGACTGCATTTCACTAGGTAAGGCACTATAAACAGGTAAGATAATCAATTCAGGGACATTCTTACTACCCAGACCTTTAATCCTCTCATAAAGAGAGTGGCAAGCATAATCAATCTCTTCCTGACCAGTCAAGAAAAGAAGGATATCACCTTCAGGTTGTGTTAAGTGAATCTGTAAGACTGTTATCAAAGCTGCATCAATATAGTCGCTTTCTGGCTGCTTGGTGTAAAGTATCTCTACTGGAAAGGTTCTCCCTGGGATAGTAAAGATGTTAGAGTTAAAAAAGTATCCAGAAAACTTTTCTGCATCTAAAGTTGCAGATGTGACGATCAACCGAAGGTCTGGTCTTCTCTTAAGTAATTGCTTCAAGAGACCAAAGAGAACATCAGTATGAATGGTTCTCTCATGAGCTTCATCAAGCATTATAACAGAATACTGAGACAAACTCTCGTCCACCAGTATCTCTCTCAACAGCATACCATCTGTCATATACTTGATCACAGTCTCTGGTCCAGTACAATCCTCGAAACGAATGGCGTAACCAACTTCTTCCCCTAACCGACAACCAAACTCCTCGCAAACCCTCTTCGCCACTGACATTGCAGCCACTCTACGCGGTTGAGTACATCCAATTTTACCTCTTGTAGTATATCCTGCCTCAGCTAGATACTGTGTCATCTGGGTTGTCTTGCCTGAACCTGTCTCTCCAATCACAACCAAAACCTGGTTATCATGTACAGCTTGAACCAATTCTTTCTTCAGCTTGTAAATGGGTAGACTCTGTCTTTGCTCCTGAATGGAAAGCTTTGACCTTTGTCCAAAACTAAGTGCTTTACCATAACCATCTTTCTTCTTCCACTCTGCCATATCATTATCATAGGCTGACAATGATAAACCAACACCCCTCAGTTCTTGGGCCAGATGCCTCTCACCTGTCTCAGGCATTGGATCCTCCCATGGTCTGTTTAGATCTTTGGGGATGGAATCAAGCATGATTCTTTGTTGCTGCTCCCTTACTTCTCTCCTTTCCTTTACCAAAGCAGATTGGAGTGCAGCTGCTCGACTCAAACAACCTTCAGGATTTTTAAAAATCTTCACAGGAGACATATCCAGACTCTGGCTTTGGCCTTGCAAGAAAGGTGGTTTATCTTCATTCAACTCAATCTCAACCGCACCTTCTTCTTCTTCTTCATAAAACATTCTATCATCTTCTTCATCAAACATAGGACGACACTTCTTAACACTTAAGACACCTGAAGCCATGAGTTGTTTTACCTCCCACCTTTCTGCCGAACTCATTCTTTTCAATGGCCTTGGCCTTCTTGATGGGACAACAACATCATTCATCCGAATCCCTGAAATCCCAATTCTCCGCTCAATATTTCCCCAGCCCCCCATATTTCGCAGACCGAGATGCGTGTAAATAGGGTTTATAGCTTAAAGCCCTAAATTATAATGATTTAGGTTTTATGTGGGAAGATAGATGATTAATACTCGGTGGGTGTAGTTGAAACAAGAAGCTGATCGAAGATAAAAATTTTAAGGAAAACTCAGAGTGATCTGATGATCTTGTGATTTCTAAATTATAATTGATGATTTAAGATTATTACCCCATATATATTATATTATTTGGCAACAATAATCCTAGGAAAGTAGGAATTTCCCAATCTCACAAGGATTAGGGAAAGTAGAATTTTCCAAGTTCACAAGGATTAGGAAAGTAAGTCCCGTTCTATCTTTTCATAGGTATTAGACAAAATAAATACAAGAGTCATCATCAATATATATGAAGTTAAAAGATTGTATGAGTTACTTCAAAAATAATTAATTGATAATTTTATTTATTATTATATGTTATAATAAGAATTAATACCATAAATGATCATCTTACTATTTGGCTAGTACTCATTTTACTCATCGACTTTTAATTCGATCAAAACACGTACTTTAACTTTCATTTTTGACCATAAATAGTCCTATGTTAAGACTTCTGTTAAATAAATGTTAAATTTAAGAATATTCAATGTTGCAAAAAACGTTAGGCGCCCCCTAGGCGCCGATTTTTTTTTTTAATTAAAAATAAAATTAAAAATTAAAAATTTTCAAATTTTAGTAATAAAACATAAGGGGCCGTTTACTAACTGGAAATTTCTGGGAATTTCCGGAAATTGGAAAATAGAAAATAGAAAACATGTTTACTAACACAGTTTTCATTTTCAAAACTGAAAATAATTTCTGAAAATTTCCGAAAAACTGAAACACACTTAAAAACTGTTTTCAAAATAGAAAACAGAATCATCTATCATCTATTTAGTTATATGTCACTATAACCACATTACTATGATTACATTCATTATCATCTTATTTTACTTATCACTATCTTCTATCTTTTCTACTTACCTTACTTATTTAAACATAATTTATTTGCTTACACTTTAAAAGTTAGACATTATTTACATTATCAAAATTAAGAATTAAACTCTATATAATGTTTTAGATTTTGATTGAACTCAATAAACTAAATTTTAGGTGAAAACTAAAAAATTAGAAAACAGAAAAGAGAGAACAGTTTTATGTTAGTAAACAAGTTTTCTAAACAGAAAACAGAGAATTGAAAACAGAGAATGAAAACTGAAAAATTAGAAAATGAAAACAGGAACAGTTTTCTGTTAGTAAACGGACCCTAAGGTTTCCATAGTTATTTCTTAGAAACTATTTATGAAAGTGGTTGTAAAATTGTTCAAAAGATTGTTTAAACCATTTAAATACATTAAAAAAAACTAAAATTAAGAGCTAAAGAAGTATTTTTTTGAGAAATTAGTGATTTGAAAAAAAATTTGTCCAAATCGAACAACCGAGTCAAAAGTTATGCTTTTTGAAATTTTTTCACATTTTCAACAAAAAAATAAAAAAATAAAATAAAAAAATTCCCCAAACCCGCCGGTTAGGTAGTCTAGGCGGCCGGCCGCAGAAGAGGCTGCCGAGACCATTCCTTGCGGCGGCCTCCCACCGCCTAGCGCCTAGGTGTGATTTTTGCAACACTGAGAATATCATCGTCAAATATATATATATATATATATAATAAAAATGTTTACAATTTTTCACCAACAAGTATAATTGAAACAATGAACGAAATATAAATACTCCTAAATAAAAATAGTAAATGGCAATACAACTTATTCTCGTAATTATGCATACAAAATTGAAGAATTATAACACATGGAGATTTACAAGCATAGGCTATACCTAAATAACCTACAAAATATGCAATCCTTTGAAGAGAACCTTTGATACTATTACACATTTACAGTAAGCATATATACATTTGTTTGGTTTAAATTTCAAATGCATTCGCATACATTCTTGTTTAGTCGTTTAGATACAAAAGTACTACATTTTTTAGATGGGAAAAAGTTAATTCCAGCAATGGTCCTTCGACTATTGTAATTTTCCACAATTGGTCATTGTCTTTTGATGTGGACAAAAAAGACCTTTGACTATTAGATTTGTTCCAGCATTAGTCCTTCCGTTAACCTTCAGTTTATTAGGTGTTAGTGTAGGGGTTAAAATAGTCATTTTCTTAACTTACTCTTTTCCCCCTCATGTTGGTGAGTACAAGTAGAGTATCAAAGCGAAATTTCCATTGTTTCTTACCTAACTTGCTCGCCTTGAAGAAAATCTACTTTTGTCTTCAAAGAAGCAATCGAATTGAAGCATCAAACTTGCAAACAACAAACGAGATCAGACTTAGATAAGGAGTAATATAATACTATCTGCTTCAGTATTACAGTATACACCCACCCGCCAGTCGCCAGATCACACATAGATGAGGAAGCTGCGATGCGTGAGCGTTGGCTAATTACACTCGCCACCACCCACTTCAACACACTCCCCCTCTGCCACCGCCCTTTTCGTCTTCCATTGCCGCCGATTCCTTGCTAAAAAAGTTCGTTCCGTGCACCACTTCGCCTCTTGGGAGCTGGGTTGTGTTTGAATGTCGCGTGCTGAATTGAGTATTTTATTTGGGTTTATAGCTTTTTGTAAAACAGCGTAAAACATTCAAAACAAGTGTAAACCATATCTAAATGATAAAACAAGTGAATATGCAATTAAAGTAAATTTCATGAACTTAAACCCAACAAATATGCTCACACGTACTAACACGAGAAATATGTACAAATAGACTCACATCAATCGCACACAAATTTTTGTGTAATATCAAATATATTTGAGATTAAATGCATCTAGATCAATAGGTCTTTCACCTCACTACGCGCGACATTGCCCAAAAAAAAAAAAAAGGTCTTGTGACGGGTGGAATTCCCCCCAACCCATTTTTTTCCTACAAGGACCATTTTACCCTCGTCAAAAAAAGAAAAAAAAATCGAACCCAATTACATTTTTCCGGCTAAAATTGGCAGACAATTTGACCGGCAGGACAAAATCAGTTAATAATTGCATAGTTAAAGGACTAAATTGAAAGTTTTGAAAATCAAGTACTAAAATAAACAACACCCTAATAGTCACATGACCAAAAATACAAGTAATTCTTATTATAAGAGTTAATACCACAAATGATCCTCTGACTATTGGATTAGTACTCCTTTTAGTCCTCAACTTTCAATTCGACCAAAACACGTACATTAACTTTTAGTTTTGACCACAAATAGTCCTTCGTTAAGATTTCTATTAAATAGGTGTTAAATCTAACGATATTATCGTCAAATTAATTAATATAATTATGCTTACGTCTTAGAGAATTATATGACAACATAATTAATTTCAACTATTAATACAAATTAAGTTGTAATAATTATAAAAAAAAAATGAATGTGACAAATCACAGAATAAATTAAAGAAAAATCCATGATTAATGTACGTAATTAGTACATGATTAATTAATGTATATTAATTTAACGGCGGCAGCCTTCAGTTAAGTCTCAGACGAAATGTTTGATCGATTAATGACGAGTGAAAATTATCGATCGGCCATGTATGAACAACCATGAAAATGATGGAAGCAAGAAATTGAGAGGTTTATGGGATTTTTGAAAAATTTTCTTCCAACAAGCCAATTTCTTCTTGACCAAATATTATTGCTTCAAATTTTCTTCTTCACTATTAAAGGTTGGAGCAATATTTGACGAATTCAGCGCAAACAAAAATGTTGTACTTTTGTATCTAAACGAGAATGTTATGCGAATGCATTTGAAATTTAAACCAAACAAATGTATATATGCTTACTGTAAATGTGTAATAGTATCAAAGGTTCTCTTCAAAGGATTGCATATTTGGTAGGTTATTTAGGTATGGCCTATGCTTGTAAATCTCCATGTGTTATAACTCATCAATTTTGTACGCATAATTACGAGAATAAGTTGTATTGCCTTTACTATTTTTATTTAGGAGTATTTATATTCGTTCAATGTTTCAATTATGCTTGTTGGTGAAAAAATTCTAAACATTTTTATTTTATGACCATTATATATATATATATATATATATATATATATATATATATATATATATATATATATATATATATATATATATATTGACGATATTAATTTTAAATTTAACACTTATTTAACAGAAATTTTAACGGATGACTATTTATGGTCAAAAATGAAAGTTAAAGTACATGTTTTGGTTGAATTGAAAGTCGATGACTAAAATAAATACTAACCGAATAGTCAAAGGATCATTTGTGGTATTAACTCTTATTATAACATAAAATAAAATTATCATTTAATTATTTTTGAATTAACTCATACAATCTTTTAACTTCATATATATATTGAGGATTTTTGTATTTATTTTGTCTCATACCTATAAAATGATAGGACCGGACTTACTTTCCTAATTCTTGTGGACTTGAAAAATTCTACTTTCCTAATCCTTGTGAGATTGGAAAATTCCTACTTTTCCTAGGATTGTCGAACGTGATTTTGCGGGGAAAATCTAAGCTTAGTCAAGAAAGGTCGACCTTTCTTTGTTGTCTAATCGAAAGGCTAGGATTTAATCTTGTTGCCAAATAATATAATATATATAGGGTAATAATCTTTAATCAACAATTAGAGTTTAGAAGTCACAAGATCATCAGATAAGTCTTAAATTTTTTTTTATCTTCGATCAGCTTCTTGTTTCAACTGCACCCACCCAGTATTAATCCTCTATCCTCCCACATAAAGACCTAAATCATTATAATTCCCTATTTACACGCATCACATCTCGAAATAGGGGGGAAAATCCAACTGGGGCAGGGGAAATGTTGAGGGGACTAAGACGAGAATTCGGATGAATGATGTTGTTGTCCCATCAAGAAGGCCAAGGCCATTGAAAAGAATGAGTTCGGCAGAGAGGTGGGAGGTAAAACAACTCATGGCTTCGGGTGTCTTAAGTGTTAAGGAGTGTCGTCCTATGTTTGATGAAGAAGATGATAGAATGTTGTATGAAGAAGAAGAAGAAGGTGCGGTTGAGATTGAGTTGAATGAAGATAAACCACCTTTCTTGCAAGGCCAAAGCCAGAGTCTGGATATGTCTCCTGTGAAGATTTTTAAAAATCCTGAAGGTTGTTTGAATCGAGCAGCTGCACTCCAATCTGCTTTGGTAAAGGAAAGGAGAGAAGTAAGGGAGCAGCAACAAAGAATCATGCTTGATTCCATCCCTAAAGATCTAAACAGACCATGGGAGGATCCAATGCCTGAGACAGGTGAGAGGCATCTGGCCCAAGAACTGAGGGGTGTTGGTTTATCATTGTCAGCCTATGATAATGATATGGCAGAGTGGAAGAAGAAAGATGGTTATGGTAAAGCACTTAGTTTTGGACAAAGGTCAAAGCTTTCCATTCAGGAGCAAAGACAGAGTCTACCCATTTACAAGTTGAAGAAAGAATTGGTTCAAGCTGTACATGATAACCAGGTTTTGGTTGTAATTGGAGAGACAGGTTCAGGCAAGACAACCCAGATGACACAGTATCTAGCTGAGGCAGGATATACTACAAGAGGTAAAATTGGATGTACTCAACCGCGTAGAGTGGCTGCAATGTCAGTGGCAAAGAGGGTTTCCCAGGAGTTTGGTTGTCGGTTAGGGGAAGAAGTTGGTTACGCCATTCGTTTCGAGGATTGTACTGGGCCAGAGACTGTGATAAAGTATATGACAGATGGTATGCTATTGAGAGAGATAATAGTGGACGAGAGTTTGTCTCAGTATTCTGTTATAATGCTTGATGAAGCTCATGAGAGAACCATTCATACTGATGTTCTCTTTGGTCTCTTGAAGCAATTACTTAAGAAAAGACCAGACCTTCGGTTGATCGTCACATCTGCAACTTTAGATGCAGAAAAGTTTTCTGGATACTTTTTCAACTGTAACATCTTTACTATCCCAGGGAGAACCTTTCCAGTAGAGATACTTTACACTAAGCAGCCAGAAAGTGACTATCTTGATGCAGCTTTGATAACAGTCTTACAGATTCACTTAACACAACCTGAAGGTGATATCCTTCTTTTCTTGACGGGTCAGGAAGAGATTGATTATGCTTGCCAGTCTCTTTATGAGAGGATTAAAGGTCTGGGTAGTAAGAATGTTCCTGAATTGATTATCTTACCTGTTTATAGTGCCTTGCCTAGTGAAATGCAGTCTAGAATCTTCGAGCCTGCCCCTCCTGGGAAGAGAAAAGTAGTTGTTGCTACAAATATTGCGGAAGCTTCTTTAACAATAGATGGCATTTTTTATGTTATAGATCCTGGTTTTGCTAAGCAAAATGTATATAATCCAAAACAAGGGCTTGATTCATTAGTCATAACGCCTATATCACAAGCCTCAGCGAAGCAAAGAGCTGGGCGTGCTGGACGAACTGGACCAGGAAAGTGTTATCGTCTTTATACCGAGACTGCATTTTACAATGAAATGTCTCCTACAACAATCCCAGAAATTCAGCGTATTAACCTTGGGATGACAGTGCTTAATATGAAAGCTATGGGTATTAATGATCTTTTGTCCTTTGATTTCATGGATCCTCCCTCTCCTCAAGCACTAATATCCGCCATGGAGCAGCTCTTCACTCTAGGAGCTCTCGATGAAGAGGGGCTCTTGACAAAGTTGGGTAGGAAAATGGCTGAATTTCCTTTGGAACCTCCACTGTCCAAAATGCTCCTAGCTAGTGTAGACCTTGGTTGCAGTGATGAGATTTTGACCATCATTGCAATGATTCAGACGGGTAATATTTTTTACCGACCTCGGGAGAAACAAGCACAAGCTGATCAGAAAAGGGCAAAGTTCTTTCAACCAGAAGGTGATCATCTCACACTGCTTGCGGTTTATGAAGCATGGAAAGCCAACAATTTTTCTGGACCGTGGTGCTTTGAAAACTTTGTACAATTACGGTCTTTAAGCGGCGTGCTCAAGATGTCAGAAAACAGCTCCTTTCCATCATGGACAAGTTCAAACTGGATGTTGTGAGTGCTGCAAAAACAAAAAAATTTACCAAGATAAACAAGGCCATAGTTGCAGGTTTCTTTTTCAATGCTGCTAGGAAGGATCCACAAGAAGGAGGGTATAGAACTCTGGTTGAGAACCAGCCAGTTTATATACATCCTAGTAGTGATCTATTTCAAAGGCAACCAGATTGGGTCATTTATCACGAGCTTGTGATGACAACAAAGCAATATATGCGTGAGGTCACGGTGATCGATCCCAAGTGGCTTGTAGAGCTGGCACCCAGATTTTTCAAAGTGGCTAATCCAACTAAATTAAGCAAACGCAAGAGACAGGAGCGCATTGAACCTCTTTACGACAGATATCACGAGCCTAATTCTTGGGGGTTGAGTAAAAGGCGTGCTTAATTGATATGTTCTTCAACAATGCACTTACAATTTTGGAGGATTTTGTCATATTATAATGTGTGAACAATTTAAATGTATGTATTCATATATGTAAATGAGAGCCACTAATGTTAATGTAGTGCATTATTTAGTGTTTTTCTATACTTCATTCACTCCATTCTAATTTTCTTATTTCATTTTCCATTTGTTTGTTTTTACATTCAATTGTTGGTTAGACTGTTCTACTTGTCTCTCTCTTATAATTTATTTTTCTTAACATTGACGACAATGTTGAAAATAACTAACATTGACGACAATGAATTGAACCACATTTTGCAACCCGACGGGGGTTATACTAAGGACTAAGGTGTAGGTATTATATAGATGCATTAGGTTTCCTAACTAAAACAAGCTTTGATGAGGTTTCTAAATCAAAAAATAGTACAATTAAGTCCCATTATTATGTACTCAAAAAAAATCCTATTATTGTCAACGATCTTGGTCTAGTGACACGGAGTGATTCTACCAAACGGAAAGTCAGTGCTTCGATACGTTGAGAAAGTAGTTTATGAATAAATACTACATTGTAACAGTTAGTAATACTAAAAAAAAAAAAAGTCCTATTATTACTTATTCAAGCATACTACATTGTAACAGTTAGTAATACTAAAAAAAAAAGTCCTATTATTACTTATTCAAGCTTTGTTGGGCAGCGATTTAGAGAATCAAATAAAGCATTCTACTATAAAACTTGTGCACTCACTAATAGTTATAGTTAAAGAGTAAAGCATTCTACTATAAAAGTTATGCACTCACTAATAATTATAGTTTTTAACCTAAGGGTATGCGCTTAATCTAACATTTGGTATATCATAGCCAGAGGGTCACATAAATAATGCAAATAAGGTAAATTATCACTAGAAAAAAGCAATTTAAAGCAATATAGGGTTCAACTAATAATGGGTAAAAATATAAGGGAGATCTCAAATGCATGAAACTTGTGAGATGAAGTTCTCTGTGGTACTGTGAGAGCTTCCACCTTCAAGCACTGCCTCTTCTGCTAATCCCTTCCACTTCACAGCATTTTTCCTTAGCATTTTCCCTTTCTCTTCTTCCATTACTTCATGTATGCAACCTTTTATTTCTTCTTTTGTTACAATTCCCTTTTGGTTAGTTTTTGGCCTCACTCCTATCTCCCATACATCCGCTACATACTTGGATATCATCTGCTGATCAGCCCATAGCGGCACTGCTATCATCGGCACCCCGAGCATGAGTGCTTCCAGAACCGAGTTCCATCCACAGTGTGTCGTGAAACACGAGATTGCCCCATGGGACAGAACCTGAAGCTAAGGGCACCATTTCACGATCAGGCCTTTCTCCGATGTCTTGGACTTGAAATCTTTCGGGAGCTTGGTTTCTTCGGATTTCCTGACGACCCACAAGAAGGCAGTCCGTCGCCTTCTCACCGGAGAAGGTGATGGATCTCCTTTTTTTTTTTTTTTTTTTTTTTTTTTTTTAATATGTTTGATTTTTTTTAAAAAAAATAATAATAAATATTACTTTTTGACCACATTTATTAATGATAGTCAAATAGCACTTTGCTATTTGCACAACCTATAAAGTTATTTGACCTATTATATAGGTGGTGCAAATAGCAATCAGTTTAACAACTCTTCAGTTTTCAGCTCCGAGCTTATAACTTTTCAGCTTTCAGCTCCTAGCTTATAGCTTTTCAACTAGTTTGCCAAACAGAGCCCCAGTGTGAGACCCACCACAATTTATACTAATGGTGACAACCACGCGCGTGGCTGTCACCATTGCGCCCAGCGGGTGCGTGCATTGCACGCTCAGGCGCGCCGAGCAATCATAAAGTATTTTTTTTATTATTTTAAAATTTAATTTTTTTTCTTTTTTCTCTTCCCTCTCATCTTATCTTTCCTAATCACTCTTACATTCTCTTTCCTAATTGTATGAAGAAATGGAGAGAGAAATATCGAAATTGACTTAATGAAGCCTCTTTCATTAAATGTTTAGAGAGAGCAGAGAGTATTTTCAACTTGAGCGAGAGAGAGAGAGAGAGAGAGAGGGAGTAGAGGAGAAGAGAGTGGCCTCCCCTTTGCCTTGTGTGGAATGGCCTTTATATAGGTCTGAATATTGACTTTGGCCCGAATTATTTTACCCTGATCTGATTACAAAACGAGAGCATGGAACGTATATGGAGATCAAAGTCGGGGAATATTCTCTATCAAGCCACATATAAGAAAAGAAAAAAACTTGGTCCTGTGAGCTATTGTGTGCAACAGTGTAGGGATTATGTTTAAAGTGGGCAGATCTTTTGTTGGTATTGTCATTTGGTTCTGTCTATTGAGTCACCTAATTTACATCCTTCTAAATGTTTTGTCGGACCAGAATGTGGGGGCTTTAGGGTTGGGAATTCAACATTTTGAAGAAAGAAAAGAAAACAAAAATTACATATACAGGTTTAATTCACTGATTCATACAGTATTTGAGAGAAAAAGAAAAGGCAAAAATTCTCAAAGGCAAAAATTAAGAAATAAAGTGGAACACTTACTATTAGCTATTGCTTCTCTGACAAATAGTATATATGTTTGAATCCCATAAAAGTACTTGATCCAGATAGAACATATTATTCAAAATATTTTATTTTGTACAATATTTTTGAGATATTAAAATTGTATATTTAGATGTTACTATATACTTCCAAAGCAATATATTAACATTGATAAAGACTTTTGACAAAGATAAAAACAAGTTACATGCATGTAGGACAAAATTAGTTATTAACCTTATGTCCTTAAACTACCATCCGTCTATCACATGAAAACAACATGTCAAGTATAATTGTTGACTTGGTAACTTTAATCAAGTTGGTTAAGTAGTTATTAACTTGATCGATAATTTTAAAATTACAAGTTTGATTTAGCTGAACAACTTAATAGTTTTGTAGTCTCTTTACCATCTAAGATTACAGTACAAGACGAGTTTATTTAGAGCACACATTTAAATAGTGATCTGACTACGGGTTTCTCTCTTCCTTCAAAAGAAAGATGGAAGTACAACATTCTTTACATTCAAACCAATTAATTATTTATTCGAGTAAGACAATGGCCCTGTTTGGTAAAAAATTGGTCTATAGGCCAATTTTAGTTTATTTGACCACTATTAATTGTTTGATTTAGTTAAAATATCAATATAAATGTTTGGTTAATTAGCTTTTTGCAATTCCAAAAGGCTAAAATTCAAAAAGCTACTCCAAGTAACTTTTTCAATTAGCTTTTTAAGAAAAGAAATTATATCAAACAGCTATCAGCTAATTTACCAAACACTTTTCTACAATCAGCTACCGTTATCAACTATTTATACCCTCTAATTAACACAATCAACTCATTTTACCAAACAAGACCAATGTATTTGGCTTATTAGTGAATAAATGAAACTTTTATGACTTATAATATGAGAAAATTACACTTTTCGTCCCTGAGTTATAGGGTAATTATAGAATTCAATTTATCACTAAATACTGGTTATAGGGAGTTCTCAAATGGATGAAAGGTGTGAGATAAAGTGCTCTATGGTACTGTGGGAGCTTCCACCTTCAAGCAACGCCTCCTCTGCTAATCCCTTCCACTTCACAGCATTTCTCTTTAGCCTTTTCCCTTTCTCTTCTTCCATTACTTCATGTATGCAAGCTTGTATTTCTATTTTCGTTACAATTCCCTTTTGGTTAGCTTTTGGCCTCACTCCTATCTCCCATACATCCACAACATACTTGGCGTTCATCGGCTGATCAGCCCATTGAGGCACCACTATCATCGGCACCCCGAGCGTGAGCGCTTCCAGGGCCGAGTTCCATCCACAGTGTGTCATGAAACACGCGATTGCCCCGTGGGACAGAACCTGGAGCTGAGGACACCATTTCACGACCAGACCTTTTTCTGATATCTTGGACTTGAAATCTTTAGGGAGCTTGGTTTCTTCGGATTCCCTGACGACCCACAAGAAGTAGTGGTTGCTCTGAGCCAATGCGGTTGCGATTTCTGCCATTTGTTGTTGTGTTAGGCTGGCGATGCTGCCAAATGATACGTAGACCACCGAGTTGGACTGCCTCATACTTAGCCAATCCATGCAGGCTTGTGAGTGGGGCTTGAAGAAGCTGATTCTGTGGTCTTCTTCTTTGCTGTCTTTAAGGTACATTGAAGGAACCAATGGTCCTATGGTTTTTACTGCCCATTTGCTTCTCATCCATTTCAGTATCTGTCAAGTTAAATATATACATTATGCTTTGATTGATCATTTTCTCACCGTGTCACCATCAACTATTACTCCAAGCAAAGATATAAAACATATCAGTAACAACCTAACCATCCAAGCTGATTTGATAAGATTGTTAAATTATCGTAATCTTATTAAATTTAATTTATACTTTCTCAATTTTTTTATTCCAAAAAAATGTCTCCACTACTGAGTTTTAACTTGTGACCACCCATTTAGAATGATAATAGAGATATTATCACACTAGTTAGTAATTGACAATTATGTTTAAGACTTTTAATTTGCTTATTTACTCACATTTTATCTTATTCCACTTAATGTTGTTGGCCAGAGAAGATCATTAGCCAATGGCTTCATTCATGGACTCATCACGTGAAGTGAAAAGACAAAAAAAAAAAAAAAAAAAACGGCCACAGTTATGCCGCGCATGCTGACAAATTATTGTATGGACCATGGTCCCCACAATGTTATGTGGACCATAACAAAAAGTACATTTTTAATATATTAAATGTACATTATTTTTGTACTGAGTGTACATTAAAATAATGTACACTTAGTACAAAAATAATATACATCTCCTGAATACAATGTACATTATTTTTGTATTGAATGTACATTATTTTACAATATACAAAATATGGTCCATACAATTTGTGTGGACCATGGTCCACACAATAATGATTGGCGCATGCGGCATGGTGGCCACAGAGTTTGGGCTCAGTTTGTTTCATTTTGTTTGCATTATTATTTTGTTTGGTGTGTTGCTTAACAAATAATTTCAACTTAATTAAGAGTCACAGTTATGCCACTAAACCACAGTTATGCCACTAGACCACAAGTCTTTGGCTGCTTTACATGGTTGAATTATTTAATTATTTGCAAGAAACAAGAAACTAGAGTGCTTGTCTATCATATCACCCAAAAAAAAAAAAAAAAAAAAAAAAAAAAAAAAAAAACAATATCAACCAAGAAATTAAAAGCAAAAATCAAGTTTTTTTAGAAGAAATATAATAATATATGTGAATTTAATTTGATGAATTAATTACCTTTTCTTCCAACTTGTCGAAACTATTGAAGAAGATCCAATCCACTTGATCGATGTTCAAGAACTGATTGGTAAGGAGAGACTGAACCTGCTGAGAATCATCGTTGAAGTTGCAAGGCAAATCATTGGTCCCCATGAGCGGCATGGCCGGGAAAGACAGCACGCCGGCGTTTGGCGAATTTTCCGACGGGATTTCCACGTCGCCGTGGAATATATGATAGTAAACGGCGCAGACGCAGCAAGGTTGAGTGAACAGCGCAGCGCCCTGTAACCCAAATCCTTTTGCCAACCCCAGAATCCATGGCAGAATCGAATCATACAAAACCACTTTGGGTGTTATTCCACCTGACGCTTTTTGCTTCTCGATAACCTGTGGTAAGCCCTGGGAAAAAGTTGCTTGGAACTGAGCAAAAGTTGTCTCCGTGTTCTGCGGCGTGTCGGCGCCGCCGCCTTCGGGGATGACGTCGGGAATGAGCTCCACCTCGATCAAGGAGGCGGTGCCGGTCGGAATTTGGAGGGATTTGCTTGCGCTTTCCGTGAGGACGAGTGTGACCTTCACGCCGCCTTTGGTGGCTAAGTGTGTGCAGAACTGGACCATTGGGTTCAGGCGGCCTTGCACCGGGAAGGGAACGGCGAGAATGTTTACGCTTTCGCTGGACATCTCTTGTTACCGGAGTTTGGCGTCTTCGCCGGAAACGAGCTGAGCTGAGCTTCACCTCAATCAAGGCGTTGGGCGGAGTTTGAATGGGTTCGCTTGCGTCTCTGGTGAAGATTAGTACTTATGTGGCTTTGAGCTGAGCTTAAAAGGGCAGTATACCCTCATATAAGAAAAGACAAAACTGTCCGGCACGGGAGAGACCAATGTTTGAATTTTGGTGGCAGAAGTGTGGGGATTATGTTTAAAGTTAACAGATCTTTTGTCTGCACCGACAATTGGTTCTGTCTGTTGAGCCAAGTCACCATGATTTACATTATCAGCTTCTAAATGCTATGTTAGGGCAGAATGTAGGAATCTTTGGGATTCGGACAATATTCGAGAGAAGAAGAAAAGAAAAATTAGGAATAAAAGTGAAACATTTATTATTACCTGTTGCTTCTTTGATATGTTTGAATTATCCCATAAAAGTACTTGATCTAGATGGAACATATTATTCAAAATATTTTATTTTGTACAACATTTTTGAGATATTAAAATTGTATAGTTAGATGTTATTATCTACTTTCAAAATAATTATTAACATTGATAAGAGCATCCTCAATAATTGGAGATTTTACCCCAGATTTTTATGGGCCCCAACATCCATCTCATCATCCATTATCTCACCCAATCACAAAATCTATTCTTCCCATTAATTTTAAACTTTTTCACAACTTTTTGTGGATCCACCATTTTATCTCCATATTTTAATTATTTCTTTATTTATTTGATTTATAAATTTATAATAAAAATAAATGAATTGCATACGTAAAAATTGCAAGCTTTCATTTCTAAACTTATAATTAAAATAAACATAGTAAATAAAATAAAAAAAAAATAGAAACTGGGAGTAGAATGTGTGAAAGATGTTCTATTTATTTTTTTGAGAATAAAATAATAATTATTAACAAAAAAAATAAAAAATAAATCTACTGTGTGCCGTTGCAAATTGCAACGGCACAAATTAAAATGGCCGAAAATGGCCAAAAGTAATTAATTTCACAGTGGCCGCCAGTTGGTGGCCACTCTGAAACGCCCTGGCTGGCGTGTGTAATACACGCGCCTGCTAGGTTGAAGGGTGAGACGCATCTGCGTATCTCACCCTTTATTTATTTTATTTATTCTTTTTTTTAAAAAAAAATTATGACATGAATTTTTATTTTGCAGGAAAAAGATTTGCAGAAAATTTGGCTTTTCCATTTGTCAAAATCCAACACAAGCAAATTTTACAATTCTAAAATGTGGCAAGATCCCCCAATAAGGGATGCCTTAAGGACTTTTGACAAAAATCAAAACAAGTTACAATGTTACATGCGTGTAGGACAAAATTAGCTATTGTCCTTAAACTACCATATATATCCGTCTATCATATGAAAACAACGGGTCAAGTATAATTGTTCACTAGGTAAGTTTAGTCAAGTTGGTCAAATTATTAAGTTGATAATTATAAAGTTATAACTTTGACCTACTTAAGGCACAACTTTAAGTATAGTTGAGCAGCTTAATACTCCTTGTAAATTTTTGTCAGTTAAAATTACAGATGGGACTTTTTTAAGACACACCTTTAAATAGTGACTGCGAGTTTCTCTTTTCCCACAAAAGAAAGAAGTACAACGTTCTTTCCATTCAAACAAGTTAATTATTTATTATTCGAGTAAGAGTGTTTGGCTTATTAGTGAAAAAACGAAAACCTTTATGATTTATAATATCAAAAAATTGTACATTTTGTCCCTAAGTTATAAAATAATTGTAGAATTCATTTTCAAGTGTTAGTCAGGCTCACTTTTCATTCCTGAGTTATTATTGACATTATGTTGTTGCACTTTTCATCCCTTTGCTAATAAAACATTAGCTATGAAATGACAAAAAGTGCACCACCAATGATAATTTAGGGACGAAAAGTGAGAATGACCAACACTCACTCAGGGACCAATACTACAATTAACTTATAACTTAGGGACGAAAAACACTATTTTCCCAACATAATTTTTTTAATTTTGGTAATTTAATACAAATTGAGACGTTTGATGGGTGTTCTCAAATTTTGATAATTTTATACATGTTGTGAATTGTGAATTTAATACATATATGATAAAATTTTATCTTTAAATCTAGTTGAAATATAAGGGACGGATCGGAGTTCTCAAATGGATGAAAGGTGTGAGATGAAGTGCTCTGTGGTACTGTGAGAGCTTCCACCTTCAAGCAATGCCTCCTCTGCTAATCCCTTCCACTTAACAGCATTTCTCTTTAGCCTTTTCCCTTTCTCTTCTTCCATTACTTCATGTATGCAAGCTTTGATTTCTTCTTTTGTTACAATTCCCTTTTGGTTAGCTTTTGGCCTCACTCCTGTCTCCCATACATCCACAACATACTTGGCGTTCATCTGCTGATCAGCCCACTGGGGCACCGCTATCATCGGCACCCCGAGCGTGAGTGCTTCCAGGGCCGAGTTCCATCCACAGTGTGTCATGAAACACGCGATTGTCCCGTGGGACAGGACCTGAAGCTGAGGGCACCATTTCACGATCAGACCTTTCTCCGATGTTTCGGACTTGAAATCTTTGGGGAGCTTGTTTTCTTCGGATTCCCGGACGACCCACAAGAAGTAGTGGTTGCTCTCAGCCAATGCGGTTGCGATTTCTGCCATTTGTTGTTCTGTTAGGCAGGCGATGCTGCCAAATGATACGTAGACCACCGAGTTGGACTGCCTCATACTTAGCCAATCCATGCAGGCTTGTGAGTGGGGCTTGAAGAAGCTGATTCTGTGGTCTTCTTCTTTGCTGTCTTTAAGGTACATTGAAGGAATCAATGGTCCTATGGTTTTTACTGACCATTTGCTTCTCATCCATTTCAGTATCTGTCAAGTTAAAAGTGTGTGTATGTATAGAGAGACATTATTAATCGTTAAATATATACACTATGATGGCAAATTATATCGTGCACCGCGGTGCATTCAAAACGACGTCGTTTTGTTAAATGAAAAGAAACGGCATTCGTTTTCCGCCGTTCCGCACCCTTTCGCAAAAAGTAACTCTGTTATTCAGTTTCATTTTGTATACACTGCAGTTTCAGTTCAACACAATTACAATTTAATTTCGATATAACTACAGTTTCATTCGATATTTATAGACTCAAATATGTGAAAATGTTATTTAATTTTATTTTATATACACTATATTTTTATTAAAACACAACTACATGATCATTTTGATATAATTACAGCTTCATTGTACAATATACACTCAAATATGTGAAATGTTATTCTGTTTCATTTTATATACACTACAGTTTCATTTCACCACAACTACAGTATCATTTGATATAACTGCAGTTTCATTTGTTGTGAGGCAGTATCGGTTTAGATATACTGTATTATCAGTTGGTGTTTAATACACCAAACATGCAAACTCTGTTAACGGTAACGACGCCGTTTTTTACATGCACCATGGTCTACGATATAACGAGTGCAGTATGATTTGATTGATCATTTTCTCATGATATGAACTCACCAATGGGTGGATGGCAATACTAATTATCAATTTTATATACCGAGTTGGGGGTCTAAATTATATATCTACAATTAACAAATTATGTAACTATTACAATTAATATAATATATATTTTTAGTTTATTTATAGGTCCATAATCGGTTAAGAAGAGAAAATTTTAATTTTGGTCCTACGATTATAGGGGTCTTGTTAATTTCAGTCCCTGACTTTTAAAAGTGTCAATTTAGTACCTTAACTATGTAATTTTTGTCAATTTTGGTCACTCCGGCCAAATTTCCGGCCAAAAGTGATCGGAAAATTTTAATGTATAAAATTTTGAGGGCAATTTAGTCATTTGCTATTCTTTTTTTCTTCTTCTCCGTTTCTTCTCTTCTACGCGGCCGGAAAGTTTTGGCTAAAATTTGTTGAAGCTTATACGCCATTTTCAATCACCGAAAGAGCATCATAATTAAGCCTATAATTAGTGTCATGCTTATGCACTAACCTCAATAATTACCAGGAGAAATTTCAACGCCACCAATTGGCCACCGCCGCGCCACAAATTAATTCGCCAAACAGAGCTCTGGGCGAAGAGATTGAATCCTTCCTCTTAAGAATTCGCCATCTTTTTATCATTGATGAATAAATAAATAAATAACTTAGGTAAACTCAGAGTTCAACATTCTCTTCCTTAATCGGCAATTCAATTATGTGATTTTGTTTTGGGTGCATTTAGCATGCTTTTGTCTTCAGAACATTCCTCAGATTCATAGATCGTAAGGTATGTGACGAAGTGGCGGTTCGGATGAGTTTGGTCCTCTCTTCTTTCCAAAGCCAACAACGGCAGTGACGGAGCGGCGGTTGTATTGCATACATGCAATTGGGTGATCATTGTTGCAATCAAAGAAGTCGGAAATGTTAAGGTTGCCGTCGGTCATAATCTCTACTATATTATAGTATATTTGTTGTCTGATTGTGCTTATTTTTGTTGTCTAGTTTCTTGAACTATATGCCACCGCCCCTTCGCGATTGCCGTTGTTGGCTTTGGAAAGAAGGGAGGACCAAACTCATTCGAATAGGGGAGAAGAAGGACCACGGCGGCAGCTTCAAGAACGGAGGAAGAAATGATCGTCGGAAACTGGAGAGAAGAGATAAATCCGTAGGAGAAGAAAGAAAACAGAAGTAAAATAACTAAATTGCCCTCAAAATTTTATACATTAAAATTTTCCGGTCACTTTTGGCCGGCAATTTGGCCGGAGTGACCAAAATTGACAAAAATTATATAGTTAAGGTACTAAATTAACACTTTTGAAAGTTGGGGACTAAAATTAACAAGACCCCTATAGTCATAGGACCAAAATTGAAATTTTCTCCGATTAAGAATATATATAATTAATATGTTAACCGTATTACATAATCTAAATGTTGGATTAGACAAAGGTCTACAATACAAGGTGGATCAGGGTTCACTCTGCAAGGTGGAACTTGGTCCTAAATTGTGTATTTTTAGCATTGAAATAGTGATAATTTAGAATATAAATTGTGTTTGTAAGTTTTGAGAATTTATGAATACAAATATACAATACAGGGTCATTACAAATTGTGAATTTTTAAAAGATAAATTATGAATATTTAGTATATAAATTTGTGTATCTTTGAGCCTCAGTTCACCTTACAAGGTAGACTCGGGTCTAAAGAATAATTTGTCAAATTTGGAAATTCATTTTTTAACGGAAATGCGGTTTTGGACCACTTTCTGCATCAATGAACATGCCTAATTAGCGTAAATGATTTGCATTTTCTTTTTTGGGTGTGCTGCTTAATATGGTTTAATCCTTCAATTATTTGCAAGAAACAAGAAACCAGAGTGCTAGTCTATCGGCTATCACCCAAAAAAAAAAAAAAACAAAAACAAAAACAAAAACAAAAACAAAAAAATCAACCATGAAACTAAAAAGAAAAATCAAGTTTTTTTTAAGAAGAAATAAAATATGTGAATTTGATGAATTAATTACCTTTTCTTCCAACTTGTCGAAAGTATTGAAGAAGATCCAATCCACTTGATCGATGTTCAAGAACTGATTGGTAAGGAGAGACTGAACTTGCTGAGAATCATCTTTGAAGTAGCAGAAATAAGGCAAATCATTGGTCCCCATGAGCGGCATGGCCGGGAAAGACAGCACGGCGGCGTTCGGCGAATTTTCCGACGGGATTTCCACGTCGCCGTGGAATATATGATAGTAAACGGCGCAGACGCAGCAAGGTTGAGTGAACAGCGCAGCGCCCTGTAACCCAAATCCTTTTGCCAAGCCCAGAATCCATGGCAGAATCGAATCATACAACACCACTTTGGGTGTTATTCCACCTGACGCTTTTCGCTTCTCGATAACCTGTGGTATTCCCTGGGAAAAAGTTGCTCGGAGCAGAGCAATATATGTCTCCGTGTTCTGCGGCGTGTCGCCGCCGCCGCCGCCTTCGGGGATGACGTCGGGAATGAGCTCCACCTCGATCAAGGAGGCGGTGCCGGTCGGAATTTGGAGGGATTTGCTTGCGCTTTCCGTGAGGACGAGTGTGATCTTGACGCCGCCTTTGGTGGCTAAGTGTGTGCAGAACTGGACCATTGGGTTCAGGTGGCCTTGCGCCGGGAAGGGAACGGCGAGTATGTTTACGCTTTCGCTGGACATCTCTTGTTACCGGAGTTTGGCGTCTTCGCCGGAGATGATTCCGGAAACGAGCTGAGCTGAGCTGAGCTTGAATGGGTTCGCTTGCGTCTCTGGTGAAGATCAGTATGTACTTACGTGGCTTTGAGCTGATGAGCTTATATAAGAAAAGACAAAAATGCTCATTCCGTTCAATGGTTCAATAGGTAATATTTAAACGAAGAAACCAATGTTTGAATCTTGGTGGGCGGCAGTGTGGATGTTCAAAGTGAACCGATTCCTTATCTATATTTGACTCTGTTGCTAAGCCAAGTCACCCTGATTTACATGGCAAATTATTGTGTGGACCATGGTCCATATAATGTTACGTGGACCATAACAAAAAGAACATTTTTAATATACTAAATATACATTATTTTTGTATTGAATATACATTATACAATATAATGTACACTCAGTATAAAAATAATGTACATCCCCTGTATATAATGTACATTATTTTTGTATTGAATGTACATTATTTTACAGTATACAAAATATGGTCCATACAACTTGTGTAAACCATGATCTACACAATAATAATTGGATTTACATCATGAGCTTCCAAATGCTCTATTAGGGAAGGATATAGAGGCCTTTCGGATTCAGATAATATTTGCGAGAAGAAGGAAACAAAAATTAGGAATTAAAGTGAAACATTTATTATTCGCTTTTGCTTCTCTGATATGTTTGAATTATCCTATAAAAGTACTTGATCTAGATAGAACATATTATTCAAAATATTTTATTTTGTACAACATTTTTGAGATATTAAAATTGTATAGTTAGATGTTACTATCTACTTTCAAAATAATATATTAACATTCATAAGGACTTTTGACAAAAATCAAAAGAATTAATTTCACTTTTGGTCCCACGACTTTTGATGTTCTATCACTTTTGGTGCACAACTTTAAAATTTTTTAATTTTGGTGCCTAACTTTATTATTTTTATCAATTTTGGTCCTTTCGGCCAAATTGACAGTGAAATGTTGTTGGATATTATATTGTTAGGGGTAAAATCGTCATCCCAAGGAAACATCTTCAATATCTAAACAAAATCACCGTAAAATCATATCTATAGGTGTTTGATGATGAGAATAATGGGGAAGATGGGCAGAAACCAGACAGATCTATGGGATTTATAGTTTCGACCATTGGCAAACTCTTCTTTTCCTCTTAATATGATTTTTCTTTTGTTTAAATATTGAAGATCTTTCCATGGGATGACGATTTTGCCCCTAAAATATAAAATCTGGAAATATTTTACCGTCAATTTGGCTAGAAGGACCTAAACTGATAAAAATAACAAAGTTAGGCACCAAAATTGAAAAAATTTAAAGTTGTGCACCAAAAGTGATAAGAACTCAAAAGTCGTGGGACCAAAAGTGAAATTAATTCAAAATCAAAACAAGTTACAGGGTCGTATTTTAAGTTTTTGTGGCCCTGTTTTGGTAAATAAATGTGGCCCTATGTACCAAAAGTATAATTTTTAAAACCAATACAAGCAAGTTTCGAACCTCTGACCTCCAAGTTAAAATACAATAAATACACATTCTTACCAACTCTTCATGTAACCTTTTAAGCTTAATTAAAAACTTTTGATTTTTATTTCGAAACTAGTTAGGTAAAAATTAAATATTGGACCTCTAAAATTGGAGGTCCTGTGCGGTAGCACAGCCTAAAATCCAGCCCTGACAAGTTACAATGTTACATACGTGTAGGACAAAATTAGTTATTGCATGTCCTTAAACTACCATATATATCCGTCTATCATATTAAAACAACGGGTCAAGTATAATTGTTGACTAGGTAAGTTTAGTCAAGTTGGAGATTATTAATTTGATAATCATAAAGTTACAATTTTGACCTACTTAAGGTACACCTTTAAGTATAGCTGAACAACTTAATATTTCTTGTGGTCCTTTGTCAGTTAAAATTACAAGACGGGACTTACTTAAGGCACACCTTTAAGTAGTAACTGCGAATTTCTCTTTTACCACAAAAAAAAAAAAAAAAAAAAAAAAAAAAAAAGAAGTACAACATTCTTTCCATTCAAACTAGTTTATTATTTATTATTCGAGTAAGACAATGTGTTTGACTTATTAGTGAAAAAACGAAAAGCTTTATGATTTATAATATGAAAAAAATGTACATTCCGTATCTAAGTTATAGGATAATTGTAGAATTCATCATTAAGTGTTGATCATGCTCACTTTTTGTCTCTAAGCACTTTTCCTCCTTAATTTATCATTGACATTATGTCGTCGCACATTTCGTCATTTTACTAATAAAACATCAGGATGAAATTTGTAATTTTAGTATAACTCAAGGATGAAAAGTGAGCACGAAAGGACACAAAGTGCAACACCAATGATAATTTAGAGACGAAAAGTGAGAGTGACCAACACTCATGGACGAATACTATAATTACCATATAACTTAGGGATGAAAAGTGCAATTTTCCCAACATAAATTTTTAAAATTTGATAATTTAATACAAATTGAGACGTTTGAAGGGTGTTCTCAAATTTTGATAATTATATACATGTTGTGAATTGTGAATTTAATACATATGATAAAATTTTATCTTTAAATCTACTTGAAATATAAGGGAGTTCTCAAATGGATGAAAGGTGTGAGATGAAGTGCTCTATGGTACTGTGAGAGCTTCCACCTTCAAGCAATGCCTCCTCTGCTAATCCCTTCCACTTCAAAGCATTTCTCTTTAGCCTTTCCCCTTTCTCTTCTTCCATCACTTCCCGTATGCAACCTTTTATTTCTTCTTTTGTTACAATTCCCTTTTGGTTACCTTTCGGCCTCACTCCTGTCTCCCATACATCCACAACATACTTAGCGTTCATCTGCTGATCACCCCACTGCGGCACCGCTATCATCGGCACCCCGAGCATGAGCGCTTCCAGAGTCGAGTTCCATCCGCAGTGCGTCATGAAACAGGCGATTGTCCCGTGGGACAGGACTTGAAGCTGAGGGCACCATTTTACGATCAGACCTTTTTCTGATGTCTTGGACTTGAAATCTTTAGGGAGCTTGGTTTCTTCTGATTCCCTGACGACCCACAAGAAGGAGTGGTTGCTCTCAGCCAATGCGGTGGCAAATTCTGCCATTTGTTCTTGTGTTACGCAGGCGAGGCTGCCGAATGATACGTACACCACTGAGTTGGGCTGTCTCGTACTTAGCCAATCCATGCAGGCTTGTGAGAGGGGCTTGAAGAGGCTGATTCTGTGATCTTCTTCATTGCTGTCTTTAAGGTACATTGAAGGAATCAATGGTCCTATGGTTTTTACTGCCCATTTGCTTCTCATCCATCTCAGTATCTGGCAAGTCAAAAAGTGTGGATATATATATATAGAGAGTGAGGGGGTGAGAGACATCATTAATCATTAAATATGCACATAATTATGCTGCGATTGATCATTTTCTCATGAACCCACCACCATTAACTATTACTAGCTACATGCAATGATATTCTTGACGTTAACATTATGTTTTAGAGTTTTGCTAATTTAGTGGCATTTTCTCTATCCCATTCCACTTAATGTGGTGGGCCAAGATGTAAGCATAGAACAATATTTATTTGTTACAAATTTTGACATTTCATTTATATATACCACATCAAATCAAGTAAGTCAGACGGTTGGTTTGGTAATCATAAGATTTTAAAAATGCTTAGTTTAGCCGATATTTTATTTAATTGGGTGACGAGGGAAACACAAAACTACTATCCCATAGTATGCACGGGGTAATTAAATCCCGCATTGTGATCCTAGTTGACAAAGGATCAGAATGAGGTAAACTAGCTTAGGTTGCCTATAGTTTACCAGCTCACCCTAGTCGACAAAGGACCAGAATGAGGTAAATTAACCTAGGTTGCCTATAATTTACCAGCTCAAACAAAGAAGGTTAATAGACGTATTGTTCCTACTAAGTCCACTTGAAACCTTGTGTTTTCCAAGCTAATAACCTAAACAACTTGACTGGGTTTCCGCCTTGTAAATGATATTTTTGGCATTACATTTGTCTTTATAATATTGAATAGAATTCGTGAGAAGGTCTCACAAAAGTGTGAACCTATAATATATAAGGGAATGAAATTGATGAATTACCTCTTCTTCCAACTTGTCGAAAGTATTGAAAAAGATCCAATCCACTTGCTCGATGTTTACGAACTGATTGGCAACAAGGGACTGAACGACCTGAGAATCATCTTTGAAGTAGCTGAAAGACGGCAAATCATTGGCCCCCATCGGCGGCATGCCCGGGAGAGACACCACGGCGGTTGCCAAATTTTCCGGCGGAATTCCGGCGTCGCCCTTGAACACATGATAGTAAAACGCGCTAACGCAGCAAGGCTGAGTGAACAGCGCCGCGCCCTCTAACCCAGATCCTTTCGCCAATTCCAGAATCCACGGCACAACCGAATCATACAACACCACTTTCGGCGTTCTCCCCGCCGCTTTTCGCTTCTCGATCACCTCCGGTAACCCTACGGAAAAGCTTGCTCGGAGATGCGCGATGACCGTCTCCATGTTATACGGAACCTCGGCGACGCCTTCGGGGAGGACGTCGGGGATGAGCTCCACCTCGATCAAGGAGGCGGTGCCGGCCGGAGTTTGAAGGCTTTTGCTCGCCCGTTCCGTGAGGACGAGCGTGACCTTGACGCCTTTGGTGGCCAAGTGTGTGCAGAACTGGACCATTGGGTTCAGGTGGCCTTGCGCCGGGAACGAAACCACCAGTATGTTTATTATGCTTTCTCTAGACATCTCTTTCGCCGGAGATGATGCCGGAAACGAGCTGAGATCCACCGAAATCAAGGCGTTGGCCGGAGTTTGAACGGGTTCGTTGCTGCCTTGCTGGTGATCCTATAATGTAGAGTATTTTATGGTCTTTGCGTGGAAAAAAATAAAAACAAACTTAAAATTGGTGCTTCTTTCGCGCGCACCAGTAACTCTCTAATGAGTGTTGTATAATTTTGTCAAGTATGCAGTTATATATAATTACATAATTGTCTAAGAAAACTCTAAACAACTAACAAAAGTAATGAAATATTTATATACATTTTTAAAAAATCTCACACCAACTATTGTACTTTATGTCATTATATGTTCTACCTTAATAATGAGAAACAACTTAAATTATTTACAATTTTAATTTTAATATTAAATTTAGAACTTTGTAAATAAAATGTATATATTTTAAACCCTAAATTATTACTTTAATTGAACACAAATTGTTAGCTTTATTTTTTTTTTAAATGTTTTAAAAAACTAAGGGCAACAACATTAGTTTGGTTTCTTAATGGGTTTTTGCAAGACAAGAAGGAAAGAGAAAATGAGAGCTAAGAGAAGGGGGCGTGGAAAACGAAGAAAAAAAAATTGAAAATGATTTTTACACGCCCAACTGGCGTATGCAGTGCACGCTTCAACTATGCGCTTAATGCGCACCTCTTCTCTTTTTTCTCCACATCACTCATGATATATAAAAAACTCCACAAAAAGCATTGACGGTGATGCTCTAATGAAATGTGTTGAATTGACTCACATATAGTAACAAGACCTATAAATAGAAAGAGATCATTCTTCTTTCATAGAATTGCAATTCCTTTCCCTCATAATTTCATCTCTGCAACCAAACACCCCGTAAATGTTTTGATGATATATATGTTACGCATAATTGGATAAATTGTCACAAGTCACAAGTCACAACTCACAAAAGCTTGGATATAATGTGTCATCTAGGGTAGTTTGCTCCCTTGGATATAATGTGTCATCTAGGGGAGTTACAAGACGAACTTTATTCAAAGCGCACCTTCAAATAACATTATTTTCCTATAAATACAAAGATGTTTTTTCTAGAAGGGGTAACCTCAACCAAATTAATTAGACTATTGACTTGGTAACTACAAGATTCTAAGTTTAACTCCCGGTGATAGTAGAAGCCGATCAATTATGAGTAACCTAGGCGGCTAAGCTGGTTTACATCATTTGTGATTCGTTACAGGTTAAATCATAAGGTGAAATTTACTAAATATACATCCTCAAATAGCGACTATGGATTTCCCTCGCTACCCAAAGATATTTTTTCTAAAAATATAATGGACCACATTTTGCAATCGGCGCGGGCATGTATGGTATGCATTAGTTCTTGGGTCCAGTTATCATGTAGATAAGACATTACACACGACTCTAGCTAGCTAAGGAGATAAGAAGCAGCCGTCACCAAACAGGACTCTGATCGAAATGAGTGTCTGGTTCATGGGTTTTCACACTAAAAATAATAATCAAAATTATAGTTAGTGTTTAGTTGATAACATTTTAAAACATAATTATGATATTTGATTATTCCTAGGCTTCAATTAAAAACATCATTTTCTAATTTAAAAATGTATCATTCCATCTTATTTGGTAATATGATATTTAAGTTTGGATTAGTGTTGTTAGATTTTTTATTTATTTATTTTTTGTTCATTTTGGTACTTTGGATGTCATTATATTAAAATCAATTGTCTTGATTTTTTTTATTTTTTATTTTTATATTTTTAAACCTTTATTCCCATTTTAGGGTCATACATACCAAATATCAATATTGGTAATCATTCAAATTCCATCATACTACTAAACATGCAAAATACTTTCGTCAAAACTCATACCATTACCAAGTATTTGATTCACATGTACGAACCAAACACACCCTTTGTGATTCACGATATGTTATATATTATATTCCACATTTCCACGTTTGGTTATGTTATAAAATACAAATATTTTACCATAATTTACATCATCCCAAATGCTCTGTCGAATCGGAGTGTGGGGGCCCTTAGGGTTAAGGTTCAACATTTTGGAAGAATAAAATACAAATATTTAAATGCCGTATCAAAATTTTTTATTTAGCGAAATCGATCTACCATTGTGAATTGTGATTCCTCCCAAAACGAATAGATAAATAAACACTTAATTTAACTAATCCCTAGTGGAAATTGTGGAATGCCTTTATTGCCATTTTGAAGTTGTTTACAACTCTGGCAAGCCTTTCTTTGCAAATTATACTGTGAACTATTATTCATATATATTAGAACAATTAATAAATGTTTGTTTTTAGTATATTATAAATTCATTTTTAATATATTATACTAAAAATGAACATTCAAAAATGAATTTTTAATACACTAAAAATGAATATCTATATGAGTATATCATAGTCTTCAAAATACACTATTACTCATAATAAAACAACGGACCTTTCTTTAGATGTGCTACTTCAAGTTGTTCACATGTTACAACTATGAGCCCTATTTTAAATGAAATAGGTACCTAAAAAAAAAATCACAAATCTCACTGATATAGAGATGAGGAGCTATGAGTCAAGTCATGATTGAAACCAAATATTATCATTCTAATTTGATTTAACTCTTCCATAATTTCTATAAAATTACAAATTATTCATTACACTTAATTCTCCAATATCCTATTATATCTCCAATTTTTATTTTATTTTTTTGTGTACTACTAACTCTGTTACAATTTAATATATATTATAACTACTTTCTCAACCTACTGAAGTACAAAGAGTCAATACTAGTATCTGTTCACTCTTTCCTTTGTTTTAGAAGAACTGAAAAATACAATTACAAATAGAAGCATTTTTCATATGTTAATATATTTTCTCTTCTTTTTTTGTGATGAATAAAATTCGTTATAACTAATCTATGTAAACTCTATCTATACAAGAATGAGAATTGTTCCACCCAATTAGTCATCACTTTCAGGGAGCATTTATTCCATTTTGTTTTCAGACTTTGTCCGTGTTGTTTGGCAACATATATGCATTTGATTTTGGTACGTACGCGTGAAAAAAAATAAATTAATAATAATAAACCAATAGGAAAAACGTTGCGAATTAACTAGAGTAAGAACGTGCGAATTACAAGTCATATTGTTTTCCATCAACAGCGCACTACAAGCAGTGCTTAAAAGAGACGACCGACCGCATGCATAAAAAGGGCCCATAGGCCATAACGTGATCGTACAGTACACACCAATTGTGCCTGTTGGTTTTGTGACCACCAATTCAATTAGTCCGCGAATCAACATTATAGGAAAAGTTAATAATTTGTAAGAATTTTTCTTGTTCTCTTAACTCTCGTGTATATTTAAAGTACTTAATCCATTTTTTCAGAGTTTTTAGAGGCTTTTTATACAAGCTAGGACTAGGAAAAACCAAAGGCTCATTCTATCATTAATGTTATAAATGAAGTTACAAATACCTTAAATGCATGCCCTAATATTTAGTTCATGCTGGTTTCGTGTCTCCTCCAGGTCTAACCGCCTTCCACAATGGTTGTCCTCATCATTGTCATTAATTTCGCACTGATTACCCTCATTACTCCACTCCTACCGAGTGCTTGAGTTACTATTCTGATCTCACTGCCCTTCCGGACAATTTCTTCCTTTACGTAGTCGTCGGTCCTTCTTGACTCCATATCGACCGGTTAACTCAATCTTCCAATTCCGAACATGCCGGCTCCCTCTACCAGCGGGCTCATCTATTACCAACTGTCTCCCTAAGTCAACTGGTTTCCCTTCCCAATTTCGACCCTTTAGCAGGCTTCGTGAAAACCGGTTAGCGCACTCGTTCTTCTCCTTATCCGACTGGCTCTGCTAGCCATGCTGTCTACGTACTCTAACTAGGACTGGGCAGTTCGGGTTTCGGTTCGTTTTTTTTTTTTTTTTTGGTTTCGGTTTTTCGGTTTTAAAAAGATTAAATCATTCGGTTTAAAATAGAGTTCGGTTTCGGTTTGAAAAGTTCGGTTTCGATTCGGTTCGGTTTTGGGGAAAATCCACTATTTGAACGTTTCCTTTTTTGCCTGACCGATTGTTCAGTTGGCTCACTTGGAGTGCCACTTGAAGTGTTTTGTTGACGACAATATGAAGAATCATCTATCTATAGTTAATATTTGAAAAATAAGAATTATTGAAATACCAAATGTTGGGACTTACGACTTAGAGTTGAGATCTGAGGACGTGAGGAGTTGAAATTATTAATTATTATAATATGTATATATAATACTAGCATTTTGTACATGTGATGCATGAAAATTTATGCCCAACATTAAAAATTGATAAATACAAATAATTACAAATTATATTTCGCAATTCATTAAATTAGTAAATTTTAATCACTGTATTTGGAAACTATAGAGATGAACAAAATTGATATTTTGTTTATTAATAATGTAAACAATTTTGATATAATTTATACTTTGTTTTTACAATAAATAAATAAAATATCTATAATACTAATCTAGTAACCGATCACATATATTGGTGCGTGTGCGTGCCTATATATATATACACACATATATGATTTACTATTCATAAAATTTAATTAAAATATAATCAACAATTAATGTAATTATATAATGATTTTAACAAAATAACAATTAAAGAATAGGAAAAAGATATTATAGATAATTAGATATAGGTGTATGATAATAATGATAGAATTATGAATGTTTTAGAATTAAATAGTAACGGTGTTATTATAACGGTATAAGGGTATTTTAGTCTAACAAAAATGTAATAGGGACAATTTTGTCCATTACAATTAAAGTGTACAACATTTAAAAAAAAAATGTATACCTTTATTAACATACAAATGTAAACATTAACACAAATGTATTTATAACTTAATGAGTAAAGTTCTTGACTTTAAATTTGATGGTTAAGGGTTTAAATCTCATGTAAGACATTTAAATACATTG